ATACTCTATGTCTACTTACTATAGGTAGTCGCCTCTCTATTAGTTCGTACTACTATACACAAACTAATATATATATATATATATATATATATATATATATATAGTTGTGACGATAGGAGTGGCATTTACAGCACTATAGTTCAAGTAGCTACACCTACAAGTCCTTCTACTGTAGACGGTGCTGGTATAGTTTTAATTTTCACAATCCCAGCCGACTCCAAGGTCACATCTGCTGACAACATTGGCGATATAGTCGTTGTTGCAACCGACTATGCCGACATGGCTGCACCTGTAGATACAGAAGTCACTGCCATGGTTATTGATATATTTGCGACGGTTGATACTGCTGCTGTAGTGGTACCTGTAGAGCCTGAAAGATATGAATCCCACGGCTAATCCGATTACTATCGTTGTACCTGTCAATACTGAGGACACTGCCGTGGTTGCTGGTATAGCTGCTATGGCTGACAGCAATTCCAAGAAATACTCTGAGTTAAAGTATTAAAGTAGTGAAAGTCGAAACAACCAATAATACTGCCTTCAACCTTTAATAAGTGCGCTGACATTTAAGAAATACATTTCCCTTCTTTACGACGTAATTTCAATATGCTGGTTTATTTCCATACCGGCAATTTTTTAGGAGCATGCCGATAGTTTAGGAGCATGACGGTATTTACCGATCGGTCAGTCGATTTTATGTATATATTCGTGCTCAGAATCGACATATATCCCGGCCGAAAGCCCAACTCTTGAACCAGTACATTGGTATGAGTAGTTTGTTTGTCCAGCTCACTTGTTTCCCCCAATAAGCCGTGCGATACGTGATAAACGCAGCGAACCCACTGATGTTCGTCACCTTGGCTCGCCATCCATATGGATCGCCCAGGCTTTGCCCGTCATAGATGCCCTTCCATTTACCCACACTCAACATACTGCCTAGAGAGTAGAAATGGAACGCCTTCTCGTCCTCGCGGATGCTCTTAGTTAACACTTTGGCCATATAGCCCGACTGTTGCTGTGCGACTTGTGCCAGTAGCGGCAGAGGCATGGTCTCGCACTCAGCACAGTCGCCTATGGCCCATACCTTCCCCTCGTGGCCTTTGACTCGCAGATACTCGTCTATGATAATCCTTCCTGCCTCGGTTCGTTGTATACCTTTACTTGTCACCTTGTCAGTGAACTTGACAGGCTGCAGCCCAGCACTCCAAACTAAGGTGCCAAACCGGTGCTCAGTACCATCACTCATAATTGCCTTCGTCGATTCGTGATGGAACCCCTCCACATGGCACAACTCCACACCTGTTACAGCTGTTTTTGTCCGTATTTTTATATTTCGCTTGTTGAACAATCGCTCCACATAAGCACGCAAATGATTATCAAAAGGTCCCAGAATGGCATCCGCAGCTTCTACGAGTGTCAACGTAGTGTGTTCCACCAGATCTGGGTACAAATTTGCCATGTCTTCACTGAGAAAGTCGTATAGCTCCGCCGCATACTCGCATGATGTGGGCCCTCCACCCACAATCAGGAAACTCAACAGACGTTTCTTCTCCTGTACACCTACCTGGGGGAGTGCCGCGATTTCAAATACCTCAATCGTTCGATTGCGAATACTTCTGGCGTGCCATAGATGCTTGAGGAAAAATACCTCCTGGCCTTCGCGCTCAACCAAATTCTTCGTTCCAAACGTGTTCGTCTTCACACCCATAGCCATCACCAACTTGTCGTATTTGATACTGAAGCTACCCGAGCCGTAAATTGAATCACACACTACTTCTTGTGTGTCGAAGTCGATATCGCGCGCCTTGGCTTGGTAAAACTGATACACATTGGGCAGCGTTCGAATGGGCTCCTGGATAGCTCTGAACTCCAAAGTTCCAACAGCGCTCCTGTAGTGTGTGGTATTAATGAATAGATACACGTATAAGCATAATAAATACTACTAATGCCTCAGTAAGATTGTGATATTGTCAATAGAAAGCGAGAGACTACCATCAACACAGTGTTTGGCAGCCAACCATTATCATTTCGTGGCTTTCAGGTTACGATTGTATATGAGCAACCACTTGACAATGTCGCTGCTACAATAGTACCAACCAAGTCTATATAGAAAAACACACATAAAAAAGTATACAAGTAGTATATATATATATATATGTATATACATATGTATGTATATGTATATATATATTTATATATATATTGATCAGCTCACATATCTATATATATATAAATTCTTTCATGCATATATACATATAAATAAAT